GATTCGGGGTTCCTCAAGGGTCGGTGTTAGGACCGCGAAAATATTGTATGTACTCCAAACCAATTGGAGAGATTTGTCGTCGCCATAGCCTTCGCTATCATTGCTATGCCGATGACACACAAGTTTACATGGTCATAAAACCACAGGACATGTGGAATACAGTCTCAGAAAGTCTGGAAGCTTGTCTGACAGATATCAGTATCTGGATGAACGCCAACATGCTTAAACTTAATCAGGAAAAGACGAAACTAATCGTCTTTTCCTCGAAGTGTCAGCAAACAATGGCCCTCCAGCTCAAGGTTGGTGCCAGAACTATCGAGTCTGTTCCAGCTGTCCAATACCAAGGGGTATTCTTTGACAGTTCTCTGAACATTGGGAAACAGGTGAACGCTATTGCCAAACCCTGTTACTACCAGATCAGGAACATCGGCTGTATTCAGCAGTTTCTTACTGCAGGTGCATGCAAGATTTCGGTGCATTCACCTGTTACCACTCGGTTGGATTATGGTAACGCCCTGCTCTGTGGTATATCTGACAAACTAACTAGTTGTCTGCAGAGGGTCCAGAACACTGCAGCACGGCTAGCTACCCGTACTCGAAAAAGAGAGCACATCACACCTGCGCTTTATTCGTTGCACTGGTTACCTGTACGATACAGGTCGCAGTACAAAATTCTGGTATACACATACAAGGCACTGAATGGAACAGCTCCTCAGTACCTACAGGAACTTGCTACCCTGTATCAGCCGTCCAGATCACTGCGGTCGGAGTCAGAATCTTTGTTGTGTGTCCCAAAATCTCGTACTGTGACCTACGGAAACAGATGCTTTGGGAGGGTTTCGGCTATGTGGTGGAATAGCTTACCATCTGCTATTAGGAGATCAAATACCCTGGCCAAGTTCAAGAGGGACATAAAAACTCACCTCTTCACGTCTGCATTTTAGAATCTTTGCAAAGACGTCATGTAAATACCACGCTTTTATTTGTTCAATTATGTGCATATTGCTTGTTAAATGTATGACAGTGAATGCAAGCCTTTGTTGTTTGTTTTCACAATTATAACCATTACTATTATCCATATGTTGTAAAGCGCCTGAGAGTAGTTTTACAAATTATATAGGGCGCTATATAAATGCTGTATATTATTATTATTATACCTGTACTGTGGGTAGATATACCTGTGTATTGGTTAGTAAGACATACGTGTATTGTAGGTAGAAATACCTGTGTATTAGGTAATAAGACATACCTGTACTGTAGGTAGATATACCTGTGTATTGGGTCATACGACATACCTGTACTGTGGGTAGATATACCTGTGTATTGGGTGATAAGACATCTCTGTACTGTGGGTAGATATACCTGTATATTGGGTAATAAGACATACCTGTACTGTGGGTAGATATACCTGTGTATTGGGTGATAAGACATACCTTTACTGGATGTATAAATACCTCTGTATTGGGTAATTGGACATATCTGTACTATGGGTAGATGTACCTGTGTATTGGGTAATATGACATTCCTGTACTTTGGATAGATATACCTGTGTATTGGGTAATAAGACATACCAGTACTGAAGGTAGATATACCTGTGTATTTGTTAATAAGACATATCTGTATTGTAGGTAGAAAAACATGTGTATTGGGTAATATGACATACCTGTACTGTGGGTAGATATGCAGGTGTAGTGGTTAATAAGACATATCTGTATGGTAGGTAGAAAAACATGTGTATTGGGTAATATGACATACCTGTACTGTGGATAGATATACCTGTGTATTGGGTCATACGACATACCTGTACTGAAGGTAGATATACCTGTGTATTTGTTAATAAGATATTCCTTTATTGTAGGTAGAAATACCTGTGTATTAGGTAATAAGACATATCTGTACTGTGGGTCGATATACCTGTGTATTGGGTAATAAGACATACCTGTATTGTGGGTAGATATACAGGTGTATTTGGTAAAAAGACACACCTGCTTGGGGGAAATGTATTCTGTAGTTATTGCTGGAATTGAAGGCTATCATGTATGTTCAAATGACTGACACAGACACACTTTCAAGGTTACAGGGGTCAAATGTGATCATCTTTCTTTTTTCTATCTCCCTTCTTTTTCTGACTCTACCTGTCTTACTTTTCCCTCCTCGTGTCTTTCTCCATCTCTTCTTCCTCCCACCTAACTACTTCCATATAAAAATACCGGTATAATTTATATTTATTGCATAAATTGCCTTGAGTAATTGTTTATATGCATGTATTTTGAAGAAAAAGACTGTGATAAGTTGTAAAACTCATGTCTAATTCTTTTATAAATATTTACAATAGAATATGTATAAATCAAGACAAATGTTTTAAAAACCTTACACAAATCAGTAGTCTTAGGATCATGATAATTAGCCTTCAGCATCTTGGATGGAGGATTATCAAGTTTGTTTCAAAAAAATACTTTGACCCACATTCAAGGTCACGGGAGTTAAATTTGTAAATAACTTTTAAACTACTACTGAAAAACCAAAGGTCACAGTAGATACTATTTAGCAAGACGTGATCTTTGATAATGTGTTATCAAGTTTGTTCCAATCAATGACCTTGACCAAATATAAAATATCAGGGGATTTATATTTTAATGATCTTTTAAGCGTTTAGAGTTAAAGCTTATTTTGTCTCAATTTTATTGAATTGCGAGGTCACAGGAGATGTGTATATCTAGCGACTTTGAATGACAGGTCAGGGATATACAGCCTATTTGACCTCTTGTTTCTCTTGAAAGTTCGATTGTATTTATTGAGACATAAAATAGGTTTGACATCCTAATATATTTTTATTGCCACATTAGATAACGGTGGATATTAATTTGGGTTTGTCCGTCTGTCTGTCACGCTTCGTTTCCGTGCAATAACTGCAGTTTGGCGGAGTTATGGCCCCTTGAATAACAAAAAAACATCATTATCTGCCGTTTCTGTTCATTTACTCTCGCAATTATTAACTGATTGTCTTCAAACTTAGTAACAGGGTTCAACGCATTAAGGGCTTGCCAAGTTTGACAACTACTTTAATCGGACTCCATTTGGCGGAGTTATGACCCCTTGATTAACGAAAAACGTCATTATCTGCAGTTTCCGCTAAGTAATAACTCTAGCAAATATTAGCCAAATTCCATCAAACTTTATAACAATGTTTGTGTTCCTCTGTCTTTCCACCCATCTCAGGCACTCTCTGGTTTTCGTTTGATAATTGCTGTAGATATTGTGCAGATATTTCAACCAAATTCTGTATGCACATCCGACTCATGCTACGTTTGCCAACTGATGTGATTTGTGGATATTTATAGATAATTAATGAGGTATAAGGCTGCTTTTTTTTCTTTGAGTTTCAAGCTATATATTATATCCCAACAGCACGATACTCACATGATTAAACCTAACCTCAATTATGTTTACCTACAATACATCCTGTAAGCGGGGGATATGAATTCCACGAATTTGCTTGTTTCCCTAGATATTGTGATATTAAAAACATGTTTTACCAGTATTCAAAACTATGGGCTAGTGAGCTTATGCCATGGCCCGACGTCTGTCATCCTTCCATCCGTCCGTCGTCTGTCAACTTTTCCTTTGAACGACTTCTTCTGAAGAATGGCGAGGCCTACAGTCATGAAGAACTGAAAGGTATAAAATCCTAATATGTGGCTGGTAGCTTCGCTGGTAAAAGCCCAATGACCCAGCGAAAATGACCTAGACCCACTATCAAGATCACAGGGGTCAAATATGTTAAACTTATCAATCGTCATCTTCTGAATATGTCAAATACTTCAAATGACTTCTTCCGAATAATCTAAAGGCATAGAATTATAATGTTTGGCTGGTAACTGTCACAGATGAAGCCTAACAAAGTTTGCTATTGAAAATTACCTCAACCTACTTTCAATGTCACAAGGGTCAAATATAGCAACCAAACAGCTTCTTTTGAAGAAGAGAAAGGCATGGAGTCGTTATATTTAAAAAGTAGTTTCCTTGGAGGGAGCCCAACAAAGTTTGCGAATTGAAATTACCTTTTCCTACTTTATCCTATGGCTTTATCTTTTTCTAATTTGATATAGAGTATACATGGCCCAACATGATTCAATGTTGTAGAAACCATGCCTCCATCCCAATCGGGACAGGAGAATGGGACCCAATAAGGTAAGGGTATTACTGAGATACATACAGAGCCAATATTTGGAAATATTGGAAGTACAGTATTATCTTTATTTATATTTTGCTCCGACTGCTTAAATATCCAGGAGAGCGATACAGGCCCTCTGGGCCTCTTGGTTTTAACCCGTTGTTATAGCCCTCACATAAGTAAGCATGTTTGTAATCTGTTTTTATAGGCTTGAGACACAGACAGAATACACTAAAGCCGCGGCTGTTGCTCTGTTTAACCTGAGAATGGGCAAGTCTATACAGATCCTGAGTAAGACTGCTACGAAACAAGGTAAGGATGTGAAAACACGTCTCTATACAGATCCTAAGTAAGACTGCTACGAAACAAGGTAAGGATGTGATAAAACGTTTCTATACAGAACAACTTCTGTGTTATAACAGAAAATTATCTTTATGTATACCGCATTTTACATGCAAGCAATGATGATATTCCAATAGCTATTAAGGTGTGTGCTCTGTCACCAGACTTGGGACTAGAAACTTTGTAAACTTTGCCATATAATGGTAGCACACTATTATCTACATATATAGGTAAGCTTTATCTTATAAAAGGAAGTGTGTAATTAATATCTGCATGTAAACTTTGTCTGATTCTGGCTGCGTGTAAATATATGTATATAATGTATTTAGAGGAGAATTTCTTGCAAACAGATCGATTTTGACATGAATGAAGTGTAGAATTTTAAGTGTGTTTATTTCGTTTGCTTAAGGATGTATTATGTCTCTTTAGTTTGGTAACAATTAAAATAAACCATGTGCAAAATTGATCTTATGTAACAGGTTATGAAAACCTGAGTGCAGTTGCCATGGCGATAGCCGGGTACCAAGAGGAGCAGCAGACAATGTGGCGCCGTACATGTGGGTCTCTGATCCAAACAGTCCACGACCCCTACCTCCGTGCAATGTTCTGTTTCCTCTCCAGTGATAAGGAGAACTATGATGAAATTCTGGTACAACTTTTGCTATACATATTTTTATTTTATTACCGGAGGGCAGGATAATATTCACTAGAATTGGTGTTGCTGAGTTAGATGTTGTAGCACCTATTTCAAAGCGTTCACTACTTTTTAGCTCACCTGGCCCGAAGGTAAAACTTAAAAGCTTCAAACAACAATATCTAAAGAACCATTTGGTCTAGAGTCATGATACTATGATACTTGGGTATGTTATGTAGACCAGCAGTGTGATTTTTTTTTATTACAGTAATGAGGTCAAAGGTCAACTTTAAGTGCTAGCCGGAGTCAAAGGTCAACATGGGTTAATTCTTTAAAATTAACATTTCAAATTTGTGTTTCATGTAACAAAAGAAACTGGGGCGCGATACAGGCCCCCTGGGCCTCTTGTTTGAACATCTTTTTGTTGTATTTGAAAAACCTGAAAATTAATCACAGGCATAGGCTCCCAATACCTGTGTTAGAATTCCAGCATTACAGACAAGGTTTTAAGAAGTCTAAAGCGGTTTAGACATTATAAATATTGATGGGTGTATCATATTTTGCTTATGGTATTCTTGTTTAGGGGTGCTATAATAATAAAGAAGGGATTTATTGAAATATATATAAATACCTCGATACATTGTCATAAGAAAAGGGTGCTCAATTTAAATAAAAGCTGTTGTTGGAATGTTATCGGACTGAATCGTAATTATATGAATCACAAATTTAGGACTTCTGTCATACAGATGTACTGACCATAAATTATGAAATTTAAACTGATTCCTATCAGTACTTATAGCCTGTGTTTGGTTATTAGCATACATTTTAATGTATCTGTTAGAATGTGTAGTAAGTTAAAGCACCCAGTAGATACATGAAAGTAAGCGTTTGACAGATATTGTGTTACAGCGATATAATTGATTTCTGTATTGCGATACGATACATACTGACTTTGTACAGTTAACACATGAGTGATTTTTCTCCACCTTCTTACCGAAATTGGGACCTAAGAGCAGTTCCCTAACTGCATGTAAAGACAGCGTGGTACATTGTACATGTATTTCTCTACATCTGGCAGATTTAGAGATATGTTGTATGTGGTGTGCAATGTACCACAACATATATATTGTGACAGGCCTTCTCTTTTTTGTCATCAGTCTGTGTTTCAAGTGTTAATAAATAGGTCTGGGGCTGCAAATATATAGCCAATACCATACAGAGGTATCTGATTATGAAAGTATGACACTGGCTGACCGCCCCTTTGGTTGTTTGTTGCAGGGTGACCACAACTGTATGCCGGTGGCTGACAGAATAGCTTTTGCCTGTATATACCTCTCTGACCAAAAGGTAAGTTTTCAAATATTGACTGGATTGTTCTGTCAAAAAGGGCTTTGCAAATCATTCCTGGTCAACCATAAATTTCAAACTTGAATATCTGAAACCAAGTACTCTCTTTGGTATTTGTACTTCAGCTAGTACTTAAGGTACCATGTGTAGAGATTTTTTTCAGTGAGGTAGCACTATAAAGTCGGCATCAGTTCCGCGCTATCACAAGGAGACAAACACGAACATATCGCAGCCTCCCAAAATACACACACATACACTACACACATGCATCTTGCACACAGGGGAGGCCGTCCTTAAATGACCTAAGCTGTTAATAGGACGTTAAACAAAATCAAACAAACAAACAAACGAATTTTTACAGATGTTCATTATGGTCTTAAAACTGCTAGCATTCCTGGGGACTGAAATTGGTGTAAAGGATCACGGGTAAAAATTAAATTTGCCATTTCACACTGCCAGTAAAATACACCACAAAAAACATAAACAAGGCTAACCTACCTACAACTGTGCTTTCATTGTGAACTGAAATCTTAACTCGTTGTTTGAAGTACAATCACTTAAAAACAGGTACCGTGGGTATTCCAGATTCATTGCTTGTAATACATGTGTACCTGTTATAAGGTGGAGACTGTTACTGTTAACATTGTTGTTTGTTTCTACAGTTAAAGGAATACGTGGACAACTTGAGCAGTATGATGAAGGACGAGGGATGTTTGGATGGCTTACTTCTCACTGGTATGTAATTAATTAACATGCTATCTCATATAAACACATGAAATATTAAAATTAATTTATATTCTTATACTGGTTTAGATTTGGGTTTGGGCTGGATAAAATTCACCTTCGATTTGTGTGGGTAAATTTGACTTTTTTGTGCTAGGTAAAAGTAGCCATTAGATGAGATTGAAGTAGGTGAAATCCTGTTTGTCCTCTGTCCCTACTTGAGGACTTATATGGAGGTACTTTGTAGTTGTAGTTCTATATATCATCTCTCCCTACCCCAGGGCTGACATTGGAGGGCGTGGAACTACTACAGAATTATGTGGATTGGACCGGCGATATCCAGACTGCCGCCCTCGCTGCCGTCTTCACATTTCCTTGTGAGATGTCACACAACGAAAAGGTCATCACCTGGATAGAAAGGTCAGATATGTATACTAATTCCTGTGGATAGAAAGGTCAAATATGTATATTGCTCCCTGTAGATAGAAAGGTCAGATATATATATACTACTGTGGATAGAAAGGTCAGATATGTATACTACTCCCTGTGGATAGAAAGGTCAGATATGTATACTACTCCCTGTGGTAGTTAAACTGTTAGAAACTTGATTCCAGTTAAATATGTCTGTCGTAGAATTTTACAATGTTTTCACTTATTCTTGACTAAGTTTTGACAATATTCATACTGTATATAGTCTTCATTGAATTATTTTGTGTCCCCTTCGAATGAAGGGAGACATATTGTATTAGCACTGGTTCTTCTGGTTCTGGTTCTTCTAAGATGATCGTTTCCGGTCCGTAACTTTTAAACTGTTAAAGATGTCTTGATAGAACTTGCAGAATACCTGCATCTTCCATAGACGATCTGCAGATGACATCAATGCAGTGTCATTGGATCACTGTGGCCTTTACCTCAAGGTCAAAGGTCCAATAAATCTGATTGTTCTAAACATTTAAAAGTGTAGGCTATGGTGATGCCAACAGTCCCTAACTGTCTAAGTTTGCTTAAACTTAGTATCCAAGTATATGATGGCATAGTAATGTCTATCAAAGCACCATCTGTCATAGGGTCAGTTTTAAGGACTTCTGTAATTCCCCATTAATTCCCATTAATTCCCCATTAGAATTAGAACTTGTTCATATATGCATTTTATAATTTAGCAGTAGGCAGTTCCTTTGATAATAAGGTCAAATAATAAGTGGTAAGTTAAAGATATCCTGATAAAACTCAAGTATATCTGCATCACCCACAGACGAAGTACTGTGCACTTATTAAACTGTTAAAGGGGAGACATAACTTTTTATTCACAAAAACAGAACTTTAGTCATGCATATATAACTATAATTTTGTTTTCTCAGAAATGCTTGAAATACTATTTCTTAATGTGTTCAATGGTTTGTGTATTGCAGCTATAGGGAACTTCTAGACCGGTGGAAACTCTGGCACCAAAGGTAAATAACATTGTTAACCTTATGGAGTCATCAATGTTAGTAATACCTGAAATCTACGAAGAAGATATTTAAAACCATGTTTACGAAATAGTAATAGCTGGGTCTACAACTAAAAAGAAACTTTATTCATTTACAACAATTCTAAAACAAATTACATAACTTATATTAATCACTCTTGTTGGACGGATGTTAGCGTGTAGGGGTGGGTCTTCATGTGGGAGGAAACTGGAGTATCAGGAGAAAACCCATGGTAATTGACCCCATACCTTTTCACATCTAATCGGGGAACCAAACCCTGGACGTTTTAGTGAAAAGTGAGTGTGTTATACACTGTACCACCCAACCGACCTAACTATAAGTCGGCATTGTTCTTAGTTACTGGAACGGGAAAGAACTAAGCTATTAGTCTTTTTCATAACACCAGTCTGATAGCATTTAAATTCTGTAATACCATGCTTTAGATATCTCCTCTAATCAAGGTTTTACATGGGAACCACTAGTACTACATGGGAAAAACAATTCTTTCTTTGGAAGTTTATACCTGAATGTTTAGATTTGTTTCGATAATGTATTTGACCGTTGTGCTTTTTTCTACGCTACAGAGCAGAATTTGACATCATACGTCACTCCAGTGATAGTCACAGCTCAATGCGACACAATCGGCCCCAGGCGTATGTTAGCTGTAACTTCTGTGGGAAGTCCATAGCCTGTAACACGCAGGCTCCTTTCCGTCTCATGTCACGCTCCATGATGTCCATGTCTGCCAACAAACCAAAGGTATATAACACACCTGTATTGTCTACTGTACAGACGGTTTCAAGATTTAAGCTATTTTTAAGTAGTTATGTGTATGTCTCAGAAGTCAAAATACCTATACCTGATACAAGTAACAAGTAACTGTCTTTTTAACAGATTTGTATGCATAACAATTTCCATTTTTTGAATATTTTGAACAAATTTCATCGGCACAAAAAAAAGGATATATTTTTCATATTTTTGCACATCATTTTTCACTCTCAGATAAGCTGTTGTCCAGGCTGTAGGAAGCCTCTCCCAAGGTGTGCAGTGTGTTTGACTAACTTAGGGACTCCCTCAGGATCGACACTGTGTCAACAGATAGAACATAAAGGTCAGTCTCAGCTACAACGGTCAGTCTCAGCTACAATATAAAGGTTGGTCTCACTACAACATAAAGGTCAGTCTCAGCTACAACATCAAGGTCAGTCTCGACTACAACATAAAGGTCAGTCTCAGCTACAATATAAAGGTCAGTCTCACTACAACATTAAGGTCAGTCTCAGCTACAACATTAAGGTCAGTCTCGACTACAGCATAAAGGTCAGTCTCAGCTACAACATAAAGGTCAGTCTCAGCTACAACATTAAGGTCAGTCTCGACTACAACATAAAGGTCAGTCTCGGCTACAACATTAAGGTCAGTCTCGGCTACAACATTAAGGTCAGTCTCGACTACAGCATAAACGTCAGTCTCAGCTACAACATAAAGGTCAGTCTCAGCTACAACATTAAGGTCAGTCTCGACTACAACATAAAGGTCAGTCTCGGCTACAACATTAAGGTCAGTCTCGGCTACAACATTAAGGTCAGTCTCGACTACAGCATAAACGTCAGTCTCAGCTACAACATAAAGGTCAGTCTCAGCTACAACATTAAGGTCAGTCTCGACTACAACATAAAGGTCAGTCTCGGCTACAACATTAAGGTCAGTCTCGGCTACAACATTAAGGTCAGTCTCGACTACAGCATAAACGTCAGTCTCAGCTACAACATAAAGGTCAGTCTCGGCTACAACATTAAGGTCAGTCTCGACTACAGCATAAACGTCAGTCTCAGCTACAACATAAAGGTCAGTCTCAGCTAAAACATAAAGGTCAGTCTTGACTACAACATAAAGGTCAGTCTCGGTTACAACATAAAGGTCAGTCTCAGCTACAACATGAAGGTCAGTCTCGACTACAACATAATGGTCAGTCTTGACTAAAACATAAAGGTCAGTCTCGGTTACAACACAAAGGTCAGTCTCAGCTACAACATGAAGGTCAGTCTCGACTACAACATAAAGGTCAGTCTCGGCTACAACATAAAGGTCAGTCTCGACTACAGCATAAAGGTCAGTATCGACTACAACATAAAGGTCAGTCTCGGCTCCAAAATAAAGGTCAGTCTCGGCTACAACATAAAGGTCAGTCTCGACTACAACATAAAGGTCAGTCTCGACTACAGCATAAAGGTCAGTCTCGACTACAACATTAAGGTCAGTCTCGACTACAGCATAAAGGTCAGTCTCAGGTACAACATAAAGATCAGTCTCACCTACAGCATAAAGGTCAGTCTCGGCTACAACATAAAGGTCTGTCTCGACTACAACATAAAGGTCAGTCTCGACTACAACATAAAGGTCAGTCTCGACTACAACATAAAGGTTAGTCTCGACTACACCATAAAGGTCAGTCTCGACTACAGCATAAAGGTCAGTCTCGACTACACCATAAAGGTCAGTCTCAGCTGCAACATTACAGTCAGCCTGAGCATAAAGATCTGTCTTTCTGTCTGCAACTTAAAGTTCAGTCTGACATCATAGAGGTCGATCTCTCATAGAACTTGAATTTCATGTTCTCAAAATATGACATAGCAAATAAATTAAAAAAATGGAGAAAAGCAACTCCTGAATCAAGTATACCTGTAAAGATAATGGTCCTGATTAGTTTTGGTCTGCAAGGCAGGACGTCCTCAGAGCACAGCTATTTGGTGACAGCTACATGGTGATGACAGAGTGGCATGCTAGGCCGGCCGTCGTCAGACCACAGCTATTTGGTGATTATATCAGTCCAAAACCAGTCAACACCAGTATCAATGTAGTTATGGAAACCTGGATTCACAAGTTGCTTCTTTCTTTTATCTACTTGCTTTGCTTTACTTAACCCTTTCACCACTGTAGACCATAATGGACTCGTCCATATCAATGCATGGACGAGTTTACTAAAGTTACATAGGGGTAAAAGGGTTAAATATGGCTAGACAATAATAGTAGCCCAATAGTCCGAGACTAGACTAGTGAAATCTCCAGCTGGACTAGTGGTTCTAAAAACGACTAGCCCTATAAACTAGTCAAAATTTGATATCTTATATATTGTTGAATAATATTGGGTTAGTGGAATTTCTACAAGGACTAGTAAAAATTGGAAACTACTACCCCAATTGACTAATGGTATTTAAAATTAATTTCTAGCCCTGCTTTAAGAGGGTTTCTGTATATCATCAGGTATCCTCCTAAAACCTAGAAGATGCAGACTTTTTCTACACTTATACGATGTTGGTTCTTCACTCCTGAATTATGGAAATTAACACATAGTTCAATTTTACATTTCTCATTACAACTTGTGTAATTTAACAGTTTTAAGTTGTTAAACATTTGTTTCAGATTTGGAGAACAAGTTGACCCCATTAGACGACTGGTTTACCTGGTGTCAAACTTGTCGCCATGGCGTCCATGCCTCACACATCACCTCTTGGTTCAAGGATCACCCACAATGCCCTGTAACAGGATGTGACTGTAAATGTGCAACTTTAGATCCTATTGGACGACTGAAAGCTACTTCACCACTAGTGCCTGCTGGGAAGGCTTGACCTTACATTGCTCTAAGAATCGATATCCAGAGTATACGACAAGATGTGCAATACAAAGTTCCGTAAACTGTTAAATTGTATACCTTGACCCTTTCACCACTGTAGACCAAAATGGACTCATCCAGATCAATGCATGGTAGAGTCTACTAAAGTTACATAGGGGTGAAAGGGTTAACATTTTCCCGCATAATTTATCAGTTAAAAATAGAGTAAAACTTTTTCATTCAGTCACCGTTTGTCCAGGAGCATTTAGGCATGATTGTATTGGAAACGACAAATAAATGGAGGGAGACTTGAATAAAGAATTCTAAGGGAAAATGGTGACACAGAAAGAGGTTATATTTGAAACCAGATGAGGCAATACACTGAATTTTACTGTGCATTTGATTCTGTATTTCAAATTTTATTTTGCACACAATATACGAATGCAGATGTAATGCCTAAAGGTAAACATCTGACTTTTATTGTTTTCACTTAACCTGCATTGTTGCTAGTACTAGTAATAATACCCAGCCTCCTCTGCCCCGGCCGGGTATTAAATCAATTCCATGCCTTGTAATGGAGCAAGCCCGGTGTGAATCACACCGGGGCGATTTTAGAATTAACTGACTGCACATTGGTCCGCATCCATTAACAGGTTTGTAATACATGTATGAACTATTTCTGTTGATATCCTGTATAACTTGAAGTTAAACTCTGCCTAAAATGTCGTTAAATTATCAAGTTAACGTCGCAAGGGGAATCGAAATCTGACTTGACCGCCATGTTGGAAACTTTGTCTCTCTTCCGATTTAGGTCAGACTTCTATATATGGGTGTCATGACCCAATATGGAAATTGTAGTGAACATGGCGGCATCTTTAGTAATACTTTATTTGGCCATGCAGCCATATATAGAAAGGATACTTGAGATAACATCACACGTGATCTGTCATGGCAGTCATTTCTAAAAAAATTCCCAAGACGGACTTGACTAATTTTGTGAAAGAGTTTTTTTATTGGTAAGGATTAGTTTTACAACAATTATGCAATATTAAACCTGTGTCATTTCATTTTAGTAATTTCCATGTGCGAAGTGTCAATATTTCCTTTACCAATTGATTATTTGAAAATACATGTACCCTGAAGTGATTGTTCAATAGTTTTAGTTCCGTTATCAATAAGTTATGTACAACCTGCGTTCTAATGAGTTCTGCAACGCGTATAACTTTGGGAGAGCTGAAACACATTTTTTTTCTTGCTGTTTTTTTTCCGCCTAATTAAGTGATTAAACAAAGCATACATACATGAGAATGTAAATCTGAATTGTCACATCAATCTTATTCAAACATTTTAAAGGGAAATAACTCTAAACACAAATCGACATGGTAGCATATGTATTTAAATTGTAAATTGACCAAAGAAATTTGCTGTTATGCATTATTTCTGACCATAGTCCTAGCAGATTACTTACTGGACCTGCTGACCATTTATCAACGTTTAGTTGACATCCTCAGTTGTTGTACCTTTATAACAGTTATACCTAATAACAGCTGTTATATACCTTTATAACAGCTGTTATACATTTATAACAGTTGTTTTACCTTTATAACAGCTGTTTTACCTTTATAACAGCTGTTTTACCTTTATAACAGCTGGTATACCTTTATAACAGCTGTTATAGCTTTATAACAGCTGTTTTACCTTTATAACAGCTGGTATACCATTATAACAGTTGTTATACCTTTATAACAGTTGTTGCATCTTTATAACAGTTGTTTTATCATAGTTTATAACAGTTGTCGTACATTTATAACAGTTGTTGTACCTTTATAAAATGCTCATTCCTATTGGAAAATAATGCAACAATCAACATTTCAACATGTTTTTGTTTTCTAATAATGTCATCATCAAATAGTTGAAGTTTCCTTTTCGGGCCTCATATTGAGTTTGCCAAATGTGACGTAATAAATGTTGTTACCTCGACCTCTTAGGTGCAGTCAGAAATGACTTACCGGTATGTAAAAAACATTCAGGATTTGTGAGAGCACCAACATGATATTTATGTAGCTAATAGATTTTTGAAAGGTATAGCTGAGTATTTACGACAGGTTTTGTTTAGTGGGACCCTTCACCAAATACTTTTTGGTTTAACAATACATATTTTACCCTCAACCTTCATCAATAACATCCCATAATAACCACTTGTAAAAATATGTATCTTTATGCGTAATGATCAAATCATTTTTTGATTTTTTTCTTCATAACACACAGCCAGCTATTTGTCTGTGGCTGGAGTTTGTGTATGCCATCTTGGTCCTAATTTAGGGTTTAATATTCCATGTTTAAAAATTCCCAACCAAATATAGTACAAAAAATAAAGGTAATGCTTATCTCACCCAGCACACCAAAGTGTGTAATGTTATATCATATTCCATACAGTTACTTTGTACCCTTTTATAACATCATTGTAAGTTTAACGATAGTTTTGAACAACCGGGCCCAGATCATCCGATGAATAAGTCTGTCATCACAAGCAGCTTTTCATATGATTTAAGTCGTAACCTCACCTCATTCAAGGCATAATTTCTACAGCTATGCAAAAGTGACAC